CAAAACGAGTTTTTGCCCTCGGGCCAGCCCAGTTCGCTGGGTCCCACAGCTTGCCCGGGCTGGGTTTTGTTGCTGGAAACGAGTTTTTGGGCTTGCCCCCCCCTAGCCCTCCCCTTGCCCTTGCTGCTGGAGTTGCTCTTAGGAAGGGGGCTGTCGTGAAGGAGAAGGGGGAAGGGAAGCTTGTGGGATAATTAGGTTGATTTTTTTTTCTTTTTAATTATGTTAGTTTTAAAAAATTGTAAGTTTTTAATTATAATAAATTGATTTGGCAAAAAAAAAAAAGATAATGAATTGATAAAAATCACTTTTAAAAAATATATCATATGCTCAACGTGTGACTTTATTTAATGAAAATTTTAACGGAGTTAAGAAATTTTGGGACCCTTGTTCTTCAGCTTTGTTAATGAGGGTATTTGGGATGCATATGTAAATAGTACCTGAACTTTTAAGCATGTGTGCGATTACCACCTAAATTTTTAATTTTAATTATTAATCATCTAAACTTTATAAAGTGTAGCAATTTACTACCTACGTATAATTCCGTTAAGATTTCTGTTAAGTCAAGTGGTCTTACAATTATAAAAACTTAACAAATTTGAAAATAATTATAATAAAAAAAATGAAAATCAAGCATATTATCTCTCGCCTCCCCCAACATCGTTCTCCTCCAATACCATTTTACAATTCAAGGTGAAGTCTTACGAAAAGTGGAAGATATGCTCAAGAGTGCTAAACATACCCTAGTTCTCTAATACATTAAAACTTAGCAATTATATGTCCTTTTCCTTTTTTCTTTGTGCTAGTAAAATTAAACTTGGCAAACCTAGTTATGTCTGAATTTGTTATTGATTTGCAGAGCTTGGCCCATTGTTTGTGCAGTTGGAGAGAGAGACAGTGGCGGATCTAAATATTATGGGGGCCAATAGCTGAAAAAGATATAAAATTACATACCAATTTCCAAGTTTTATATAAAAACTTCAATGGAATGGGGGCACGGCCACCTCTGGCCTGTGAGATTCCATAATTGCAATGAGAGAGAGAGAGAGAGAGAGAGAGAGGGTTTAGGAGGGATGGATTGTGTGGGCTGTGGCCTTTTGGTTAGGAAGTGGGCTGTCATGAAGGAGAAGGGGGAAGGGGAGCTTGTGGGATAATTAGGTTGAATTTTTTTCTTTTAAATTATGTTAGTTTGAAAAATACAAGTTTTTAATTATAATAAATTGATTTGGCAAAAAAATAATAATAATGAATTGATGAAAATGTCTTTTAAAAAATATCACATGTTCAACATGTGACTTTATTTAATGGAAATTTTAACGGAGGTACACGTAGGAGGTAAATTGATACACTTTGCAAAGTTGAGGTGGTTAATAGTAAAAATTGAAAGTTCGGGTGGTAATCGCGCACATACCTACAAGTTTAGATGGTATTTACGCAAATTTCCCAAAAAGTTAATTAATTTGGAAACTGAAAAGTGAAAACTATCAATCTTTTGAAGAAATTGTAATTAAGCAAGTGGCCGACGCCTCCCTTCTCTTCCATGCATTGAGATTTCGTTATTGTTTTTTGTTTCTTTTTTCTTTCAAGACAAATGCTTCAAAACGCTATGATTTAATGCCTTAAGTTTTTGGTAGGCCAAAATTAACTATTAAGCAGAGAAAGAAACCACACCATTCTATTAATTAAAGCCAAGAAACTACATCACACATCACCACACAAAGAAATTAAATAAACGAAAACATTTGCATGCCTAGCGATGCATGGGCATAGCTAGGTTGATTAATTAATTTGGGTAAACGTGGTTACTCTTCTTGGCGTTGGATGTTTTAGGCTTGTCCTGGGT